TTTGGTGCAACTGTTGCTACTTTAAATGTCATGTATGAATAATGTTGGCCTGGTTTGAATATTGATTGTTTGATCTGCTGTTCATTCTTGTCGTATGACACCAAGTTAGGCTTTATTCATGTTCTTTTGTGTCAATATTGTATACGTATATTGTAAGAGTTCAACACATTGGAAGTCTACGAATATATTAGACAAAGTTTCAGTCACATTCAGTTCAAAATGCCAAATTTTACACTATTTATTGGCATAAACTCGTGTTCTTTTAATCAGCGATGCCAGTCTCAAGGACAAACTGGATACTCAAGATGTAAAGCTGTTCTCAAGAAATTTGAAAAGTAAGGAAGAGTACTGTGTCTGAGTACAAGTTTCTTCCTTCAGAGACTATAAGATGTCTGGTATAGCTTTTATAGAAGCGATACTGAAACCCTGACAGTGACGAACTGCCCTAAAGGCCAGACCTGAATGTGACAGATGTTGTACAGAAGCCTGTACCCTAACCCTAACCCTAAACTGAGAATAAATAAGAGACTGCCAAAGAGTATAGAGCTGTGTGAAGTGCTGAAGGAGGTTTAGTATAACGGGTCGTAACATTACTGGAGAAAACTTCTCCACCGTCTGTTCAGCAGAGTTCAATATGTGTGCTCAATGCAAACTTCCATCTGTTTGAGTTTCACTTACATAGATGAAATACAAACTAGAAATGTCAAGGCATATTTTTCAAAAGGTATATTTATTTATTTTTGCCTGTAATTACATCTCTATTTACAGTAGTATTTCAGCCATCACAGTTGCTTCAAATCACTGATGAAAACAAAAATGTTAGTTACTTTCCCAACTTGAGAGAAATGTCAAGCTCATAACTCTTTTTTTAAAATTTTACCAGGAAGCACGGGCTGCAGAAACATTTCACACACACTGCTCTCCTGTTCGCCAACGCTGGCTGCCAACTGCTTGGTTTAACTACTTTATAGTGCGCTGCTTTGGTTATTCAAAGACAACTCACACCTGACCCTCACCTCCGGCGGAGGAGGATTCACATTTGGCCGTCAACACACAAAGTATTCAGACTTTTGCGTTTTTCTAGTTTGAGTTTTCACAACATGGAATCACAGTGGAGGACTATTGAGCAAGGAGCAACGCTCACGTCAAAGAGAAACGAGATCTCCCCCAGCATGTGCATATATGAAATAACTGATGGTGTAAGTATTCTCTTACATAGATTAGGACTGGAGCAGACTACATTATCAATCTGATCCACTGAACACAAGTCTCCAGTGTGTGCTGAAGGTGTGACGACGACTGAAAGGTTTACTGGAGTACATCTGCATCAGGAAAGTTTGATAACTATTATTTCTTTTTAGCATGATAGGAAATTTGTATCAGGGTTTTAAAAATCACTGCCACCCAGGGGAAAAGTTAGTGTTGTATAAAAATTGAACGGATATGGCACAGCAGTGGGAACGAATGGGGGGCCTGCTAAAAGGCCCATGGCCACAAAAGGAGACTTCCACAGCTGAGACAATGGACTAAAAGCGCTAATGATTTTCAGTTTCTCAGATTTTTCTGACAGCTCTGCTTTCTTGGAGAGATATTCAACATACTTCATTCAATGTGATCATATTTAATAAATAGAGTGCCATAGTGTCACTGCACAGTAGCTTTAAGTGCAATCTTCAGTTGCCCACTGACGCAAACATGTAGGTAGTGGCTCTGCTCCATCCGTCATCCATCCTGCAGGACGTGGACGCAGCAGGAGGCCTGTTGGTGGCAGCATCACGCTGTGAAGCTGTCTCTTTACAGCAGCCCAGGAAGTCTTTAAAGCAGTAGCAGCATTCTCAAGTGGACTAATTTAACCCTGAATGTGCAATCTGACAGATGAGACTGAAGCAGTTTTTGGCTAAACAATAGGGGAGAAATTATAGACCCAAGGCTGTAAGTGCTGGAACAGATGCCTCTACTAGATACTAACAAATTGAAATCATTCTGTTTTTGCTTAAAATTTATGAAGATTTGGTTTCATTTTGACACAACCGAGTCATTTTCTGTTGATTAGTGGCATCCACTGTGCTTCCTTGTTGCGCCACAATAAATCATAAATACTTTGGTGCTCCCACCAGCGCAGGATTCAGTGTGTTCTCCCTCGCTCAAGTTGCTCACAGAGGTCCTACACAACTCAGCTGTGACTGGATAGTTTTACACTTAAAAGCCATGGAAGGAGAAAAGGGTCCAAGATGGAAGTCATGTTGTCATGAACCCAAACGACAACATCATCACAGAGGGAGGAGATTTAAGATGTACTCATAGCTTATTGGTTGACTTGAAGAATCCAACTGAGGCCTCAGATTAAAGACCAGCAGAAGATGCTGTTCTTTTTTTGGGAACCCAGAGCTCAGCAGAAAATACTCCCGCGATAAAAACAACCGGGTCAATATTTCAGCAATGGCATGTCAGACCCAGCTCTGCTCAGCAGCATTAGTTCTCCTTCCTACCAGGCAGCTCTCTTCCACTTGACTGTGCAAGTCCCTTCAAACACAACATGGAGTGAAGATGCACCGGACTGCAGATTGATTTTCTCTCGCTGACATACTGCTGCTGGGTGCGCTCTGACAGAATAATGGGAAGGTGGACTTGCATCTGGATTATCTAGAAAGTGCTAGATTTTCCCTTTGCTCGACATGGCTGACACTAGTCTAACGCTGAGGCGATGTCACAGGAAAAGGACAAATCTAGATAACCCAGACACGACCAGGACTGACAGCATGTCCGGGGTTCACAGGTGGGAGGTGACACTTAAAATTTGTAGCCAGCAGGGGACCCTTTGTTGTCTTTGTTGCTCTCCAGGGAGAAAGGAGGAATGCGAATGTCAAAGTGAGATCCGTCGGTCCTTTCGATACGAAACGTCCCCCTGAACACAGAAAACAGGACTGAGTGACTAAACGGGACATTATGAGTACAGAAAATACAGAATCTTAAAATAACAAATTAAATATGACAAGAACTTAACCATTGTTTGACAGTAGGCTTACCACATGTGACCACAGGGGGATTGTAGAGACACATGGCTGCTGTACTGGAAGGCTGGCTGTTCTTTAGATAACACTGGCTCCTGGTATGACAAAAACACAAATACAGTGATTCAATACATGCAAACTCCATCCTTTGAATGTGACACGATGAACGGTTAATATTTATTAAAGTCTTGTTTTCACTGATATGCTGCTTCTGATCAGATCATTTTGATTTAAACCTGCATTCTACATAATGGTCAGCAGGGGGCAACTCTTTTGGTTGCAAAAAGAGATCAGATTTTATAAAAGTTTACAAGAAAACAACCCTCCTCCTCACTTGATCTGTTACTTCAGTAAACAATTTTCTAATGACTTTATGGTCTCCATCACTAGTGCAATGGCCTCTTCAATACAGCATTTAGCAACAGCAGCAATGATGGTCCCATTTAGAAAAACACGGATGATGAAGCGGGCTATGTTTTAAACCATGGCTACTGTGTGTGGTGTCCACCATTACTCAGTCAAATCCATCACTCGCCTGCTTCACCCGACTTCAACAGATTGCGACATCAAATTCCTAACTCAAGGCTTCAGAACACCTGCCTACATCCATCTTTTTTATACAGTTCATGCTTCTAACTCAATGTTTGTTGCCGTTTCTCTTTCACATTAAGACTGGTGTGTTTACATGCCTTCATGGTGAAGACACTGTGAGGAATGGGATGTGTTTATCAAATGATCCAGTAGCAGTTCAGGAAACGTGTTCATAGCATGACACAGCAGAACTACAACGCTCCCACTATGGAAAGAGTCTACTGGATATTGCATTTGTGTGTGCTGCATGTATGCTAACCCTGCCGACGACACCTCGTCCTCGGACCGTCTCCAGGGTTCCTGCCAGGCTGAAGATTCTCCAGTGCCTCTCTCTCAGCTGAACCACCTCGTTACTCAAATTCTCCAGACGGATGCAGTAGCGCCACTGCAGGAAGACCACCGACACGTTAATATTTTTTATGGTAAGTTCACAGTTTCGCTGTTTGTGCTTGGCATGATCAAAACGGTGCCACTCACCCAATAAACATGGGCGTTCTGGGCCTCCTGAGAACAAGAAGGAACTGCCATTAGACTTCAAACTGACTAAAGAGATGCATTTAAGTGACAATCTAAACAGAAAAGGGGCTGCAAGCTGCCCACGGATGAAGATGTTAACATGCAAACCCAAATACCACCAAGGACAAGGTGTGAGCGGGCGTGGCTCAGGTTAAATTTTTAAAGATTCACTTACCCTCACTCCCATGTAGAAGGGGATGACAGTGACTCGGATGTTCTCAGTGGTCTCCCTGTGGACGTCTGACAGCTCCAGCCACGGGTGGTTCTTCTCCTGCCAAGCCTTCAGGGTGTCTCTGGCTGTGAACGGAGGAGCTACAGACCCCAGAAAAGGACAAAACACACAAATATTTACTGAAGACACAGTTTTTCCTCTGTTTTATATTACAGCTACAAACTATAAAGATCTGAACCACAGGTCAAACTATAAATGAAAGTTTTTGGTTATCAGGGAAATACATGCATTTCTGATTACTTCCACAAGAACAATAAAACTACAAACATTTTACACAAACCCAGACAACACAGGTTGAAGATTCAGAAACAACCACCTAAACTTACATGATCTGCATAATGGATCTACAAAACCTGACTTGTAAACCCAATATTTAACTTGGAAAACAATTTTGTAAGGATTTTATGAAAAACTAATGACATTAGTGCACGAAAACACGTTCACTGTATGTTCATTATGAGGTTTACACAGTAGGAAGTTGGTGGTGTACACACAGTCAGTGAAGTGAACCATTGTGCACTATGAAGGGTTTGCGTGTGCCGAACAGCATTTACATTTTGCAGGGTTGTACATGAGGAAGCGCTCAAACAGTTCGTGCTGGATGGGAACCTGCTCTGCAGAGTTATAGGGCAGGATGTCTTCATGGCTCACATAGTCCAGACCTGAAGGAAGAAGCACAGACACACTGTCACACTGGGCCGGACGCAGAACAATTACTACCACATCAGATGGGAATCTTTCATCCTGTGGGAGCTAAACTGCTCACTGGGATCAGAATCAAGTCTGCTGCACTCAAATGCAATGCTGGGAATTTTAATGCTGTTTCTCAATCCAAGGTGGAACTGAAAAAGTTGACACTGAGCTGGACAGTGTCTTCAGCAGCACTATAAATCTATTGTCAATTTATCACTAAAACCTCATTAAAGAAGACCACAACCAGTCATGAAAACTTGCAGACTATAGTATCCATAACTGATACAGAGAGCCAAAAACTCGGTCTGTCTTTAAACAAAAAGAAAACGGAAGTAATGGTAATTTCAAAGAAAAATGTCATCCCAACCTGTAACATATAATTAGACCAAGAAATACTGAAGCAGGTTCATCATTTCAAATATCTCTGTTCATGGATGTGAAACAGAAATCACATGTAGAGTAGCTACTCTCAGCTGCTACATTCGACCAGTTCTGATGTGTGGATGTGAATCTTGGAACATAAATAATAAAATCACTGCAGCAGAGATGTGGTTTTACAGACACATGCTACGTACATCTTATATGGAAAGAATAAGCAATGGAGATGTAAAATTACTAAACACAAATGATATGCTATTGAACTTCATGAGGATACAGCAAGCAGCAGTTTTTGGACACATCATAAGGAAAGAAACCCTGGAATATATCATCACAACTGGAGAAATGAATGGAGGAGAGGACGAGGCAGACAGAATGAAAACGATAGACGGCTGCTTACCTGGAATGGCGTACAGAGCTCTGCTGTCATCATGGTTGGCAAGAAACGTCACTGCCTCCGTCTGAGAGCGCTGAGACTGTCGAACACAGAACAGAGCAACAGTCACACACCTGGAGACTTAGAGACTACCAGCAATGACAGTGAGGCTACATCAAAACCACACACTAACATGCTGTCACTTTAAATCGCTTAACTGCTGCTACGTCTATGCACATGAACCTGATGTTTTTGGATACTTAAAAAACAGACTTTTGGAAAGCTACTGACCCCCTTCTAGTTTTAAAACTCCAGGGTTGTGATTTTATGAGGACGGACAGAAACCGAGGCTTTTGGAAACAGAGAGACACGTTCCCTTCCTCACTGGGCCTCACTGTCGCTGCATGACTACTTCCTTTGTCACGTTCCTCACAAAGACCTCACAGAGACGTCAGCTTTCACCACCGACTTGTAAGTGTTGCTGATCTTGTGGTTTCTGTTAGCTGCTGTTGTGCAGTTACAGAAATCTTTGGGTTTATTTTTTGCCAATCCAGTTCTTTCTCCTCCTGCTTCATGTTTACACCAGCTCACGCATGTTCAGTGTCCGTGAATGATCAAGTGACGTTTTTCCGTGTCATTTTAAACATGTTTAAAGTTGTGCCAGTGTGAGTGCTCCAGAGGGTTTTCTATCGCCCCCAAACTAAAGGTTGCTCTTTAAAACAGGCCCTAAATATAGCAAAATGGCAGGTTAAAATGATGTACGGTTTAAAATGAAACACCTGTTTGGACTCTTGGAGCATATTCTAGATATAAACAAAACAAAAGACTGAGTCCTGAATGATTACCTGACCTGGCTAAGAACATAACTCACTATATGGGGGCAGTCTCTGGTGTCGATGAGAACTTGGTAGTAGGTGTGAGTCTTCCCCTTCACCTCCTTGGAGCCGTGGGCTCCTGGAGGCTCAGCTTCGCTGAGGGAGGAAACACCAACAATCGTATTTGACAAAACCACCACACGATGGCCCCAAACTCAGGTAGAGTGGGGTCTGTCAGCACAGTGCGCTGTAAATGAAGGCTTACTTCTCAGACATGGGCGTGGCAGGGGTGATGTCTCGGTCATAGAGTCGGGCGTGCCAAGGAAACAAGACAATGCCTCTGTAGCCAAACACACTGTGGAGAAACAGCTGAGGAGGACACAACAACATGGTGAAATGGATAAATCACAATGAGATTATATATGCAGGATGTTTAATACAGCATAGGTTAGATGGGATTATAGTCACTTGACAAGATCACACACATGTGCTATAATAACAAAACTAAGTTTGATGTTTATCATGATGTGAAAACAGCTCAGATCGAGCTATACATTACAACAACATCCACTGACCTAAATGATTTGTTAACATCACAGCAGGAATCAGAGCTAGACCAGGCAAAAGGGGCCTTTTCACTGCAGGAACTCGGAGCAGGCACAAGGTGGCACAAACATTTACGGGCAGCGCCCCCTAAGCAGCCCTTTCAGAGTGGGATCTACTGGATTCACGAAGGGATGTATTGATTCTGCCGCAGCGTCAGTTCTGAGCATGCCACAACCGTGACACCAGTGCTGCTGGTCGCTGCGTTGTTGGCCCACGTGGCAAATCTGATGGCAGCTTTTGATAGGAGAGGACTGCTAGTCAGCAGCTTTTTTAAATAAATGGAGTTTGTTGTTACCAAAGTTGAACAAATTAGTATCAAGCACCTCCAAGCAGTTTTTCAGGCCTGCTCAGAGGTACCTACTCTGAAAAAGAGGTTTGAAAAGGGCGGTTCCTGCATTCAGAGCAGCCCGCGAGTTCCTGCAGGGGAAAATGGTCTCATCTGTGTTTTGAGATCAGTATGAAGGGTGTAAGTCTTACCTGTCCTGTTTCATATTTGCCGTGTTGTTTCACAGCCTCAAACACTCCCACAGTCTCCAAAATCTTCCCTTCAGGCCTGTTCCTGCCAAATACAGGCAGCCCCATTACACACTGGACCTTGTATAGTGATCAAAACATGGGGAGTGACATCAAAACATCATCATATATGGACCAACACAAACACCACATAAGTCCCTGAGGAGCCTCCACAGGAAATCCCCCGGGTGTGAAGAGGCTTCAGGATTTTCTCGCCTATATAGAAGATTTACATTCAGCCCTACAGGAAGGACAATACTGCTGCCTGCCTTTGGTCATAATCTCAATCACAACTTTGACATGATTGAATAAAACACGACCTTCAGCCTTGAAACAACACACACACACACACACGGCATACTACCGCTGACAACAACAGCTGGTCAATTCAAATAAATAACACGCATACTTCTGCTCCTTGCACAGCTAATCTTCACGACAGAGATGAATAGTGGGGATTAATGAAGTGGATATATGGACTATGGATTTAATATTACACAATAAGTGGGTTGCAGGTTATTTTTTATGGGTGTATTGCACAAGAATAATCACGAGCTAACCTGATTTTACTACGAGAAATATGGTTACAAAACAAAATCCTCTAGATTCTGGTCAAATACCTTCAGTGCATGTCAGGAATGATGTAGTACTACACTTGACTCAAAGATGGAACCTCACCAGCTGATGGAGACTATTTTAATATCCTGCCACTGTAGTGAATATAAAGCAGTTACATTTAGCCATGTTAAGAAGCTAGTTATACTATCGTGTCCATTACTGACTCAACTGAATGTCTCCCCTAGAAAACGTAAGAAAATAGTTATTAAAAGAGTGACAGTGACGTAATCAAATTGCTTATTTTGTTGGACCAATTGTCCAAAGCCCAAACAGTTCAGTCTGTTGTAATACAGACGAAGAAAAGCAGCAAATCCTCCTGTTGCAGAAGCTGGAACCACAGAGTGCTTCGTATTTTTTACTCCAGTGATGGACCAGTATGGTGAAATTTCTACCAATCTCCTAATCCTTTCACCTCTACCTGCTAGGAACAACGTAGAGATAACTTTAATTTTAAAATGCAAATGTTGCAGGGGCTATGTGAGTTTCCATCCATCCATCATCTCTACACCTTAATCCTCACTAGGGTGGTGGGGGGCGGAGCCTATCCCAGCTGACTCAGGGTGAAGGCAGGTTCACCTGGACAGGTAACCAGTCTATCACATGTGAGTTTGTATTTTTTTTAACAGGTACATTTTTCCGTTGAATCAGGAATCTAGACCATTTATGGAGACAGTACCAAAGTAGGTGACTAGCACGCCTTGCAAATATGCTGCCGGTTTTTCCTTTTTTTGTTGTTCCATCATTACCATATGTCATGTGAAATACCAGGAAGAAATGAGAAGTGGAGCACTTGTGTGTTTGTGAGTGAGCTACAGAGAGAGGTACTCACCATCACAACAACACAGCATGGAAACAGTTCTGCACAGGATGTAATCTGCTTGTGGCTGCTTCATAAGTGCATTAGTCCTTTAGTGACACTGAAACTATCAAATCATTTTTCAAAAGATAAAAAAATGTTTAGACCCTCCTAAAATCTGGAAAACTTGAATTTAATTCGTGCATAAATACATGAAACAATTAACAACTGATAATAAACCACTATCAACAGCCTGCGTCCTTCTTGATATCTATAGTACTGCATCACAAGCACTTGAGTACTAAGAGGGTACTTGTAGCTTTTTTTTTTAAAAGAAGTCCTACAATATATGACCTGGCCCAAAGCTATTCATGACAGATCATTTCATCTGAAACGGCTCTTGTTTTGTGAATTCAGTCTAAACCCAGTGATCCAGAGATTTAGTGGAAATAATGTTGCTTAAAGGGGAATCATTACAATTTTCATTTATAAGTAATGCTCCATATTATTTTTTTTTTCCTGACAGCTTGATAGAACAGGTTTTTTGGACAGACTTAATAAAGCCAACTATTCACCTGTGTTCCTATTAAGATAAAAATACCTTCCTTCATCCTGGTTGTAAAAGAAAACTCTCTCCAGTAAATGATGCAAAATATGCAGGAATGTACCAACAGACTCATACACAAAGGCACCTGGTCTGAGCAGCTCTCCAAACCATTCGTCTGGTCAGTTTCTACCTCTGCAACAATCTGAGAAATGTCAATACACTGTGGCCAGAGATAATCACTAATCTAAATTTAGCCAGCCCACTGCAGCCGCTAGAACCAGCCCTGGTCAACAGCTCCACTTGCCAATAAACAGAAACTATCCGTTTCATTTCAGCCCGTTCCTTCTGCCCCAGAGGAGCGAAGGCAGGTCGCTGTGCCACCCAGCTGTCAACATGTCGCTGAGAAGCTGGCAAAAATAGCAGCGAGACCAGAGCTATGATTATACAATGAAGGGCTTACATAAACAACAGTGGGGAAATACAAGACGGTGCTGAATCACTGCTGCTTTCCCAACCACTGGGGGGCCATTCACCCACCTGTACACTCACCTGCTCTATCTCTCACAGAGGACATAGTTCAAGGACAGTCTTCCTGTCTGTCTGTCTGTCTGTCTGTCTGTCTGTCTGTCTGTCTGTCTGTCTGTCTGTCTTTATGTACCTTTATCTGGTTGGTCTGATGAAGGCAGATAGAAAAACACGAGTGTGTCTGTCTGCTGGATCAAAGCCACCTTCCTCTTATTCCAACATGGATGTGATCCCAAAGTAGAAGCTGAGGGTGTAACCACTCATGCAACAAACAAATATATATATATTTTTTAAAAACAGAAAAACAGACAGATTACAGAGCCACATGAATAAAACATTGTAAGTTGTCTGCAGAGTTACGATGACTGTCCACATGTGACTAATGATAGCTCTAAGTCTGTAAGCTCTGGTCACATGTCCAGACTCAGTGAAAAAAAATCTACTTGGTCATGGTGTGTGAGGATGGTTTGATTTATCCACCAGTTAAAGCTACTAAAACACCGCATTTCTATTTATATATGACATATCACTACATCAGACAACAAAAGGTTTGCATATACATAGAGAGTTCATGTACATGATGCTACAGTGTCGATCCCAACAGGTCATTTAAGTGCTGCAGGCTCAGGGTCCTGGTACACTGTTGTGGTGCAGGCGGGTGGCCAATTCAAGGAGAAACCTGAACCCTTGATCCCTACAGCGAGGGGATCCAGTGGCTCTGTTCTGCTGTGGGGAGCATTTGTTCACTTACAGAGAAGGATCACTGCATATTAATACTCAGATGTGCTAAATGATCATCTTTAGCCTCTGACGAAACATTTCCATCCCAACAAGAGCGAGCTTTTCCAGAGTAACTCCCATTCATAGTGCACAAGGTGTCACCGAACAGGTTGAGCGTGAATTATTATGGCCTTCACCAGATCTCAACCCAGGTGAACCCTTCTGGGGGATTCTGGCCGACATGTTAGATAACTCTCTCCACCACCATTATCAAAATACCAATAGGGAATATCTTAATAGGGTAGGATGGTGTTTATCGCTCCAGTGAAGCTGCACAGACTTGGAGAATCAATGCTAAGGTGTATTGAAGTTGTTCTTGCAAAAAGTGGTAGCCCAACCCCTTACTGGTACAATTTATGCCGTTTTTTTTCCCTTTAATAAAGAATTCATTTTAGAAATGTGGTAAGAGACTTCAGTACGACGCCTATGCCAAGGGAACTGTACCTTAAATATTTCTGGCTTTTTTAAATCAGTCCCCTAAATAATAGCACTCTGTGAAGAAATTAGATTCTACGTGACCTCGATTTCAGCCATTTAATGAACAGTATTAGCTAATGACACATGACCATGTATTATAATATTTAAAGTCATAATTAAATGTTTTACACTGAAAAAAGCTCTCCGCCTCCTTTAACCTTGCGTGAGAACAGAGCAGCAAGAATTAATCAAGTCATTCCTTGTCAGCTACTAAAAAATACAGCAGCTATTTTGATGATCAATTACATGCTGAATCATTTTTAAAGAGAAAAAGCCCAAATTCTCCACTTCCAACTTCTTAAATGGTAATATTTTATCATTTCTTTCCTCCTCTCTGACAGTAAGCTGAATATCTTTGGGCTGTGGGCAGAAGAAGACATTCGAGGACGTCATCTTGGGGTTTCAGAAACACTGATCGACATTTCTTGAAATTTTACAGATCAAACCACTAATTGATTGATCAAGAAAAATACTGACAATGGAAATCATTAGCTGCAATCTGACTAAATAAATTAAAGAACTTTTTAATTGAATGTTGTGGGGAAAAACAAATAATCCTGACTGAGAGCAAGTAGACGAACATTCTACTCAAAACGTTTTGTGAGGATAAACCACATGGAATTACTGAAAGGCAACGAGGAGGTGTTTAATTGATGGTAATGAGATGACGTTGGAAGTTAAAGCTAATCACTGTGAAGCACCAAAACACATCCAAAGACAGCAGACAGAGGTGTTTAACAGATCTGAGCTCCAGGCTGGGTTTTGCTGTAGTAAAACAGAACAAATGCTGTTTTACTAGGGTGACGTTTAGAAACACAAGGTGCAAACACAGACTGTTTGCAGAATTCAGGCTACACGTTGGCCTCATCTTTGTTCACAAGTAGACAACAAAGTTGGTCTGTGACATCTTTTAACTCTAACCCTAACGCTACTTATCCTCTTCAAAAGCCTTTTACTTACATTATCATCTATTATACTTTGACTTCCAATGTATTTAATCCTCTTAAATTCAAAATATCTCCATTTACCTTTGTTAAATCCTTTTATTATTCGGTATAACATCCACTCTCTGACCTAACTCCATGTATGCTAACCACACCCATGGTGCTTATTTGGATTTTCACATGTCAACACTGTAATTCTTGTTATTTCAAGTTTTATGGTCAAAGCAAACTTTCATATTCATGTCACTGGTGTTAGGGTTAGTATTACTTTAGAGAAAGGACGTCCTTCTTACATGCACTTTTGTGCCTTTTTGACTTGTCTGATTTGAATATGCAGATGAAGGGACGGGAGTGTCACCCTGATCTCCCAAAAGACTGAAACAGATGTGCCACGGAAAGATCTCAGGCTCAGCTTGTCATATATTTAATCTTTCTTAGCCAACACTTTAGGATATCTAATGAGAGGCCGCTGAACACAGAGATCTGATGTTGACTACACTGAGGTTACTATTGTTATATGCTGCTGTTTGTTCTTTGTACAGGACAATGACTGGACCTTTATCAGGACTATGTTAAATGGTGCACATTAAAGAATAAGAGATCCAGCAGCAAATCTTAAATCGACCAACACAAAAGGAAAGAACATCTGGTAAATACAGTCAAGTCTGGACAATTCAGACTGTTGCATTACCGACTACTAATGTTGGTCTTTCTTAAACGTGGGACTTCATTACTGAACAGTGGTCCACGGTGGATGTTAGCCTCCTTAACTGAGTGATGTAATGATTTGACTCAGCAGGCTGGAGGCAGTCTGTCAGTTGCTCAACCCATGCTTGCTAGCTAAGCCGCTAGCTAATGAACAGCAGAGGACGACTGTACTTTTGTAGTTTTCTGCTGCTAATTGCCGGTTCACATGAGCACACCGAGCTCACGGTTCGGGCACCATCACCAGACACATGTCCCCCCAACAACAATGTGGTCAGTGTCTTTCACTCACAGTGCCATCTTGAAGAGCTCGCACTCGGCTAAAGTCTTTAGCCTGTTAGCTCAGACTGAGGAGGACACTGGCTGCGTCTCTTACCGTGACGACATGAACCTCCTCGGCTGAACAGCGCCGGGCAGTCCGCAGGCTCGGCACTGGAACCGCGGTCTGAACGCCTCGAAGCCGCTGGTGCTGTCAGCGACGCTCAGTATTCTATGTGTGTGCTTCTTGTTGTATTTACTGACACTGCTCAGCAAGCCTCGGCGTAACGCACAGGCCGCCATCTTTGCTGTCCTTACACGTTCACCCGCACGCATGCACATCAGGTCCGGACGCTGCATTCAGGAACCGATGGAAAGTAGGAACAACGAGAGCCACATTTCAGATACAGAGGCCTTAGTCACGTGTAAGTAATAAGAAGATAAAAGATGGAAGCACACAAATAAGGAAAGGCAAAACTAGTAAATTATGAAAAACGTGATTTTTTTTAACTCATCAAAGCTGTGCAAACGGGATTTATTAGATGCTCAGCAAGTGTAAATGCAGCTTCCTCCACAACTTATTTTGCTGTTCAGACATTGATATTTAGCATATACATGTTTATTTTAGGGCTGCAGGGTGGAGCAGTGGTTAGCACTGTGGCCTCACAGCTAGAAGGTCGGTGGTTCGTGTCCCGGTGAGGACACCCGGGATCTTCCTGCGTGGAGTCTCCATGTTCTCCCCGTGCAGCGTGGGTTCTCTCCGGGTTCTCCGGCTTCCTCCCACAGTCCAGAAACATGCTGAGGTTAATTGGTGATTGTAAATTGTCCGTAGGTGTGAATGTGAGTGTGCTTGGTTGTCTGTCTCTAAGTGTAGCCCTGTGATAGACTGGTTACCTGTCCAGGTGAACCTGCCTTCACCCTGAGTCAGCTGGGATAGGCTCCGCCCCCCATGACCCTGGTGAGGATTAAGGTGTAGAGATGATGGATGGATGTTTATTTTAAACATTTCATTTTCACATTAGGAGAGCGGTGTTTGGGGTGGTTCTAAATAAATAAGTGGGAACCCTGCTTCCCCTAAAATCTGCACATATGTATGGAAAAAAGACTTAAAGAGAAATAGGATGCAGCAGGTACAACGAGTTTTGTTTCCTACCAAAAATGCTTTCATTCAGCCGGTGAAAATCTCAATGTTTGTTTTTTGGAGTTTCTGAGGAGACCGTGAAGGCACCAAAGTGCTTACGTTGGCTGTAACGAGCAACATTTAGGTTGAATATGGAACAAAACATGATTATGAACGCATAGTGCAAACTTTTCAACTTTTTCCAAGATTATAAATGAGATTTTACAATTTCAAAAATGCGCATTTAAAAACAAAATTTAATTCCGTTGGTCACGTGATCGATTACGTCATTGCGTCACAAGGCCAACAACATGGCCGCCTGCTGGGTTGGTGTGTGTTGTGATGCTGAGCTGGTGGTCGCTGTTTAATGTTAAACTTCAATGTAGTCAATTAGAAAGCGACGTGCATCACTGAAAACATCCTCGAGAGAAAGGTGTGTGTAAGAGCTGATCTTCAGCGTTGGTGTGTTCAATCATGGCTTCCGCGTTTGTGGTCGGAGATAAATTCAGGAGAAAGGTGACAGAGCTGCTGGAAAACACGGACTCATCTCCGCCACAAACACTGAGAGAGGAACTGCAGGAGCTTCTGGAAAACCCCGAAATAAAGCTGTCCTTCAGCACAGCGAGAACACTGAAGAAATACCTTGAGGACAGCGGTAATAAGCGTTTATAACAGTCGTGACTGTGTTGACTTAGTGGCTCAGATGAAGCGTGTTTTGTGTGTTATAATACAAAAATAACAGCAATCTGGCAGTCACTTAGTTTAGGTCTCTGTGATTAGGCCTTAAAAACAGAAAAGTCAACATTCAAGCTGCTGCATATCTGATCATTTGGCGTCTAGCCTTCTGTTATTAGCTTCATACAGATGCTCTGTGCTGGAGAAGAGCAGTTCCTACTACAAGTATGAGCTGTGTTTCTCCAGCACAGACGCAGCACTGTATGGACAGGTTTGGCTGTAGGAGAATGTACTAGAACTCATATCAGCAATATGTGAAAGTATTATAGTGTTTCACACTTTCTTATGGCTGTATTTCTGCAGGACATCCTTTCTACCTGCATGACTTGTTGGAGGACAGCTCCCTGCACCTGCCTGAGGTGGTGAAGCCTCCCAGAGTGAGTGAAGACATGATGTCCTATCACTGCTATTACTTCCTCAAACGTCACAGACAGAGCAAAAGACACACATTTGTGCTCGGAATCACCAAACACCTTTTCTATTCACTTTGCTTTACAATTTTAAATCCGTTACAAACAGAAATTTACAAACAACATGCTGAGTTGAGGTATAGCTCAGACTGATGTGTTACAGCAGCTGAAGTTTAGTTTGTTGCTTCCGGTTGTTTGTAGGATTCTGTCCTTTGACTTTATTACATACCTGCAGCACCAGTCCATCTGGAGAGTTTCGTGCATCTAGGCACAACATTTCAGTCATAACTTCGTCAACGATCCACCCATTACCTATACACCGCTTCATCCTCACCAGGGTCATGGGGGGCGGAGTCTATCCCAGCTGACTCAGGGTGAAGGCAGGTTCACCTGGACAGGTAACCAGTCTATCACAGGGCTACACTTAGAGACAGACAACCAAGCACACTCACATTCACACCTACGGACAATTTACAATCACCAATTAACCTCAGCATGTTTCTGGACTGTGGGAGGAAGCCGGAGAACCCGGAGAGAACCCACGCTGCACCGGGAGAACATGGAGACTCCACGCAGGAAGATCCCGGGTGTCCTTACCGGGACGTGAACCGGCGACCTTCTAGCTGTGAGGCCACGGTGCTAACCACTGAGCCACCTTGCAGGCCTTTCTCCAACTACTTATAAATTACATGTAATTTTCAACATGCAGACAGGATTGATCAGGATCTAACAGCAAGTCTCACTGTCTACTTTTCCTCACCTACACAGGTGAGCCATCACACAGTTTATCAGCTGCAGTTACATTCTTTGTTTCATAGGGGACATGAAGCGGTGCCAAACATAATGCAGAAGTAAACCCATGTCTGAATGCCGTCACCTTAACAGACTGATGAAGCAGTAATGTTACGCGTCCCACGTCTGGAAAGGGCTTCGTTACTGGTTTTGATGGTTCCCCTCTCATACATCCATTGGTGTCACACTGCATTCACAACATATAGGACAGACAATCCAATCCTAGGTTCTATAATCAGATGATAGATGAAGCCTTATCTCTGCAACTTTCTCTATGTAATTTGAGTGCAGTTGTAGCCTTTCAAGTGCACAGACCTGTATATGTCTATTATTATTACGTGGTGAAAAACACTAAACTTCCTTCTTCTACTGCAGAATCCTGAGCTGGTCGCACGTCTTGAGAAGATCAAAGCCAAACTAGCCAACGAGGAATACAACAGGATCACACGTAATGTGAACACCCAGGTACGTTTGTATTTATATGAATAGTTAAAACATCTTAAGTGTGTCGAGGTCAAGATTCTGACACGTGACTGTTCTGTTGAAGCCTCTGTTGTGTAATTTTTATTCATGGTGGGAGACGACAGCTTTAATGTCACTTTTACAAAGAGAGAAAATCTGATTATGTTAGTTTCACAGTGCTGATTTGTGGAAGGGTATTCAGGAATAAATGGATTTTGCACATACGTAAAGAATATTTTTCTTTGTCTTTAGGAAATCAACCGAAGTGGAACCTTGGCAGATTTTGGACGGCAAGGTTAGCATGCTACATGTACCGTTGGTCAGCTTCTCATCGAGGCTGAATTATGAATCTTGAACTTGTTTCTTTCTCTCGTTTTGCAGTGCGGTCAGTCAAAGCAGTGCTGGTGACCGTGTTCAACTTCCTGGTTACCGTAGTCGCTGCTTTCGCCTGTTCATACATGGGCAGTCAGTATCTGTTCGCTGAAACAGCAGCGGTAAGGGAGCGTTCAGTTTCACATAAACATCGCTGTCAGTACAACAGCTCTGTAACTACGGCTGCTTTTATCAGATTTTTTACATTCAGTGAGTTTTATTGTTCTTGCTCTGGTTTTGTGATGTCTTTGCATCGTGTCATTATTCTTAAAGGCTTCTTTTTATAATGTGAGCTCTACCTGAACCTGAACTTGCTGTACTTTCTGATGCTCTCCAGCGGGTGATATCAGCTGTGATTGCTGCGTCTGTAGTCGGGCTTGCTGAGCTGTATGTCCTGGTCCGGACCATGGAGGGAGAACTGGGGGAACCATAGCAGCTGGACACAAGAAATGAGAGTTACAGTCACCTTTGGAGGCAAAGCCAGTGGGCTGCAGGAGCCCTCAAAGCAGAACAGCTTTGGGTAGCCCACCAAGCCTTGTGATTCAGATCTACTTTGCTGAGTTTTGTTTTTTTATGTGTCAGGGAAATTGGTGGAATTCATCCAGAGAAATCCACAGAATTTATAAACAGAGACACTCGTAGCACCAAATGGAAGCTGGAACTTCTGGGAAAAAAGCAACTTGGTTCCAAACGATGAAATATTTGATGTGTGACGTTCCACCTGCCCTTTTTTTAAAATGAAATCTAAATGTTGTTGATCTTTCTTATTTATTTCCATGTAATTTGTTTGTCAGATCTTTCTCTACAGCCTAGATTTTCTGTCCTTGTCGCTGCACTATGAAGTGAATGTTATTATTTCTTTTATTCTGTTCTAACATGTAATCATATTTAATTCATGATTGTTTAATAAAATCATCAGAACTTTTTTTTGCTTTTATTTTTAGAGCAGTAGAGATAGACAGGAAACGGGGGAGAGACCTGCAGCAAAGGGTCGTGAGCGGGAGTCGAACCCACGACTGCTGCATCAGGGAGCTACAGCCCTGTTCATGGGTCGCCCACCCGCCCAACTAGGTGAGCTGTAGGGTCACCAACATAATAAAACGAATGTGGGAATGTGCTTTTTTAATATTTTACCTCATTGCAAGTCATGGCGAATAACTATGCAAGTGTAGGCATATAGAACAACGTCTTTTTAAAAAGCCTGGTGTTGATATTCGATATTATTTTATTGCCAACAGAATCAACAAAAACATTGAAACCAACAGTTTATCTCCATATATTATCTGACTTTCCAACCCTGCTCATGCCTCTGCCCCCAGCCGACTGCTCCCTCCCAACATGTTCAACTTCACAAATGAACCACAGGTAGAGTTTAAAGTTTTATTTTTTTTTACTAAACCAAAAAAGAAAGCACAGTATTTATAACCTAATATATACTGACTGAAAAAAACTATTTGACCCCCTTTTGATTATGTCGGTTTTGTGTGTATCTCAAACTAACGCAGAGCTTCAAATAAAATCTGACATAAAACTAGTGGTGACGACACCAACAGAGAATATTTGACTATGGACTCATGGAACCTATTTCTGACCTTCACAGATTTTTATGGGTTTATTCAAACATGTTGCGCTTTGAAAAAAGACATGAAAGTTTAACAAGTGCACTCAAATGTCACTCAGGAGTCCTGACAAAGCAGCGGTAGAGCATCAGGTAGGAGGGAGACCAGGCTCTCTGAAATTTAAAACACATTTGCAGGTGAGCGAAGCTTGGCAGCAAAAGACAAAATTCAGAGTGTCATAACTGTAGGATCACGTATTAACTGCACACTATGGCACATGTTTATCTAAAACAGTCTGACACAACAGAAACCAAGATGTAAGCGTGACATCTATTAAACTTTTATCGTTGAGTGCTTTGTGACGTATTATTGTGGAAGTAAGAAGACTTTTCTCACTTATTGACTTGATTATTTACACAAATCTTACTTCTGTGCAATATGAAGGTGGCTTTCATTTAGTTGGATAACAGTGGAGCACGAAGGAAGAGTGTAAGTCAGGCTTTGGATACACATTCTTGACAGCAGGACTTTTTGGTTCTGGTCTTTTCATTGCTTTTGTCTGCAATAAAAAATACCACCTTTGAACTTACAACTGCTTTTATCGACTTTAAACTGGATTGGAAACGTTAATTCTCAGCTTTGGGTCATTTGCTCAGTAATTCTCAGCTTAGCAAACCTTGTCCAATGATAAAGACCATGACAGGTTAGAGAGTCCTTGAAAAAGCTACTAAATGCACCTAGAGCGAAGTCATTTTGACCATCCATCCATCATCTACACACCACTTAGTCCTCACCAGGGTCATGGGGGGCGGAGCCTATCCCAGCTGACTCAGGGTGAAGGCAGGTTCACCTGGACAGGTAACCAGTCTATCACAGGGCTACACTTAGAGACAGACAACCAAGCACACTCACATTCACACCTACGGACAATTTACAATCACCAATTAACCTCAGCATGTTTCTGGACTGTGGGAGGAAGCCGGAGAACCCGGAGAGAACCCACGCTGCACGGGGAGAACATGGAGACTCCACGCAGAAAGATCCCGGGTGTCCTCACCGGGACGTGAACCGGCGACCTTCTAGCTGTGAGGCCACGGCGCTAACCAGCGTTCAGCCCTCATTTTGACCTGTGTTTTCATTTTTCTCTGTAGCTGCCCTTTTTCTGACTCTGTGGCACCAGTCACTAATACTGTTTGCTAAACTGTTCCTACCTGACAGATGTGCTAATAATTATCCTCTGATCTGTGCTCACTGTCTCTGGTTTGAAGCGAACTATCGAGCCAACCAACACACAGAAAACAAATGATGATCGTACAGTACAGAGCCGTGATAAAAGACTTTCATGCTCTGAACAATAACACCATGTATCTTATTGCAAAACAGTCCCAGCATGACACAGAAGATCCCTTTTTGCTGATCCCTTCTCCAGATACAGATTCATATTTCTGTAAACTATCCTGTCCCTCTTGTCAAGTACTGTCATATCGCTGGAAGGATTAAAAGATGTAACCACATCTGGAATACAAAAAATAAAAGTATCTTCCTAAGATCTGAGATTTGACACCCGGATTAAAGGTTTATTGAAAGATTATTTGGTATTAAAGATGATTATGATGTGCAGAGCTCTCTGTCCAGCCCTGGACGAACAGTGGCCACTCCTGTCTGTCATATTTGCCTCTGTTATTATACCTCTCATGTAATATTTCAAAACTTAAATCCAGACCAAATTACAGAGCCTGTAAGCTGATAGACCCTGAGCTCTGGCTTTAATTTACTTCTTATTTTTCTCTTTTTTATTTCCTTCCCTCTGTCCATCTAAACCCCATGATACTTACAGTACAGAGAGATATGAAAAAAAATATTTTGACTTAGAAAATAATTATTCCTGTCGTGGTATCTTACGGCAAGGGATCATTTTAATCAGAATGTTTTGAAAGATAATACTCACGGGGTCGCAGCATTAAACCTGCCAGCTTAGAGCAGGAAAACAGGAGCTGGCATCTGTGAGGAGCATCCATGTCGTGTCCTCCAGCATCTCCACGGTGGAGACGGGTTTTTGGCTTACATGACTACTACTAGTCGTTTATTTACTGAAAAATGGACAAAATGTCAAAAGCTATATTTGCTTGGCTGCTTTCTTTACTGTAAACTTTAAAAAACAGAAAAAAGGATTTGTGGTTTAAATAAAAAAAGACACGTTGATGGACAACAATGTGCCATATGGATATAATAACTGGTAGATAGTAATATGACTATTACTTTACTCTAAATTTAAGGTATACTTGTCTTTTTCCATTATTGGCTGTTCTATACTTTTACTAAAGTGATTCCCAATCATGTCCATGTACCCACAAGGTGAACTAGAAATGACTAAATGGTTGAAATAGGTGAGTGTTATTTAAGTAAATGGTGAAAAGCTAACCGTGGCGATATGGTTAGGGTTAAGGTTAGACTAAATATAATGAATAATTGTTAAATATTTAATTAAAAGTAGCCTGACTGAGGATGGTTAAACATCTACAACTGCTGGATAAATGGTTAGAAACGTCCTGTTAGCTAGTAGTCGTGATGAATGATTAAACTAGTTAGCAAAAGGTAGCTTAATTGATGACAGCAAAAAGCTAAAAATACAAAATGGCTAAACACATTAATGGATAAATAAGATATGTCGCAAAAAGTAGCCTACTTATAATTGATGATGGCTAAATAGCTTAAATTCATAGATTAAGGGTTAAAAAGTTGGGTTAGCGAACAGTGACAGATAAAAACTAGTTCAGAAATAGTAGCCACCATGATGACAAGCAGCTGAAATTACTAAATGATAAGAAAAGTTTACTCAGCTAACAGTAGTCGATAAAATCTTTCAAAGTATTAAATAAATGTTTGTTACTATCAGGTCAAAGTAGGCCAACTGACAGATTAAAGAGTTAAAACTCCTAGCAAAGTTCTGACAGCTAAAAGGCCAAGTCTAAAAGACATTTGTGTGGCGTCACGTTGCTCTCTCCTTTTCTTTCCTTTTTTTTAACTTCTAGCTGTTCTTCACAAAATGGCTCAGAAATGAACTGATTGTCTTTGCTGTAAGAAATAAATCATGTATGAATGTGTGGTTTCAATAACAGTTGAGTTTAAGCTTGGATGAAATAACTCAATTTATTCCCTAAAATGTGGAACACATTAAAAACATATGACATTAAAAAGTCGGACAAGGACCAGCGAACAACACGACGACTCTGCTGCAGCACATGACACTACGTCTGTTGCTCTGGTGACACACGAGACAGCTTCAGACTCAGAAGGTGCTGCAAAATGAAATACGAAGGGATGTGACAGAAACAGGGTTCTTGGTTGCAACAATATCTAGTATTCATGTTCCCCACAGTCTGTGCTCTTCATCCAGAGGTATCAGAACTCTAAAAAGTTGGTAACAATGGCAGCGTTGTAGATCAGGTCTGAGATGTAGCCCATGGAGGTCTGTGGTCCCATCTGTGGGTGGTGATGGTGGTGGTGATGGTGGTGGTGTCCCTGACTCTGCGTTACCTCCCAGTACACCGGCTGAGGGTGGGAGGGAACTACCTGGTCTACCGAGGCATGACCTCCACCTCCGGTGCTGCCTCCGTACACGGCCTGCTGAGCCCCAGATGGAGCCAGGCTCTGGGGCTTGAAGTTCCTGAAGGCCTGGTAGGAGCGGGTGGAGGTGGGGTGGTGAGGCTGCCTGGCGATGGGCTGAGAAAACGAACCGGGAAGGAAACCGGTGAGTGGCGGTCCCAGTTGCTGCTGCCGGTGCTGCTCCTCCTCCCACAGACGAGACTCTGAGGACTTGGAGCAGCTGCGAGTCGGCTGCTGCTGGTGGAGGGACGAGGACGATGGTGGCGATACCGGGTTGCTGTAGATCTGGATCCAGTCAGAGTATATCTGTGGTACATCCTCACAGGAGTGGGTCTGCTCTGGCCTGAAGATGTCTGCCAGAGAGGGTGGAGCCGGGTATGTGGAGGCCACCGGCCCAGGGGAGGGCTCCACAAAGCCTCTACCGCCCAGGACAGGCTTGGTGGACTTGGGGAGTCTGCCAGTCTTAATACTTCTAGCTCTTCTGTTTTGGAACCAGACCTGCAGAAAAATGGCAAGATTTGTAATGTCTGGGTCATATGTGTGATCGTAGACTCCACAGGCCTCATTAGGTGTGGACATCTGGACCCGAATGCAAGGACTAGTTATGGAAAGAATTGAATTTTTTTTTTTTTAATTGTCCAATATTTATTCACATTTCTTTGTGATTATACATTAAAGCCCCAGACACATTAATATAATAATTTTCAAAATTAAAACACTGACAACACCGAATCCAACCTATGACTGTTTCATCAACATTATGGCTTGTTTTTCTTGCTGCTTAAAATAAAAATGATAGTATATAAAAATGCATAAATTATAATCAAATTGAATGAAAACTCAAACTGCACTTATTTTCTTTATTTTGACTTATTGTTATGAAAGGCAGCCTGTACATGTGAACATAGTCTTTTAGTGGAATATCAAACAGAAAACATACAAGTTTATCATAAAGGACCTCCTCTAGCCAGATATTACCCAGATAAAAAAAATACAGTGACATGTGAATAAATGTAGAGCCTAATAAAATAGAAATAAGTACAGGTGTGATAAAGCAACAATGAAAAAAAGCTAAACTAGAAAAGAAAACATACGACGTAATACTGGCAATAATACTGAAGAAATAAAGTAATCTTGCAATGATAATGAAATATTTGACATAAAATTTCACTGTTGCACATGAGACTGAAAGTAATACTGCAAATGATTCTGTACATTCATTTTACTCTAAAATAACTGAAGATTTCTGGACCAGTGTTGAAGGATTTTACGTGTTTAATTTGGGTCAGATCAGTCTTTGTGGTATCAAATTGAATTCTGTCATTTTAATCTCCAAAAATAGCTCTAAATATTGTTTTCAATCTGCTGGAAATAAACACCTGCCCTCTGGGGCTGAAAACAATGCTGATTAAATTAGAGTGAACCAGAACCAGACCAGTGCTGCAGAGCTGTGATGATTCAGTGTGTTCAACCACCAGCGACTCATTACACACAGTCTTCAAACTACATTAATCAGCTGCTTTAAAGAGCCCATGACAACATTCAGACATCATGGAAGTTTCCAGCAGCCTCACCTGGATCTTGCTCTCGGGCAGGTGTGTGTGCGCTGCCAGCCTCTCCCTCAGGGTGATGTCCGGGTAGGGGGTCACGGCGAAGGCCTGCTCCAGCTCCGACAGCTGGGCCCGGCTGAAGATGGTCCTCTTCCTCTTCCTCTGACCCTCCATCAGGCCGCCGGCTCGGTCCGGCTCCGGGGAGGACACGGTGCTCCCACTGCGGACATCTGACGGAGGAAATCAAACAGAGAACAGAAGCACTCTGCAGTAAATTGGGCAAATGGAACATGGTTTTGGTGATTTACAAATAATTTGTCCTTTTACAGCCTGTAAATAAAATCATGAGCTCAAATTGTTAATGAAAACTATCTACTGTAGACTATTTATTTTAACTTAAAAAAAAAAAAAAAATTGGATACACTTTGAATTTAAATGTAATATTTTCATGTCATGTTATCTTAACTACTAAATATCTGCAAACATCTGTTTAATATTTTTCATCCACTGGATTTCTATCAGAGTTTTCCGACCACCTTTTTTTTCTTTTTGTCTTTTACTATTTTTCATATTGCAAAAACAAATTCTACAGGAAAACCTGATGAACCCCTGGTTTACAGATTACAGTAAACTTGTTTCAGTCTCGTGTGATTACAGGCGGTGAAACTGTCTCCATGCTTACATTTAATGATAATGTTAATTTTCTTTTTGAAATAGTCAAAATGACATTTGCTCACCTTTGCATTGCTCCTGTTCTCCAAACAACGCCTTCAGATCCACCAGGTCTTTCTGCTGGTTCTGCTTGAGTAAAGAGAAACCCGAGTCCATGAACAGAGCCATAGCTGCACACACAGAGACTCACACATCTGCTGCTCGGCCTCCGCTGATGCTGACAGCTGAGGACGAGTCGGGAGCTTCTTATAGGCCGGCAGATCAGACGGGGCACCCAGCACCCATGAAATCCAGGTGTTACGCACCTCTTTAATCCTCTGCGGCTCAGAGATTTGTTTTCATGCTGCATTATGTTTTCCTTGACTGCTCCGACTGCACGTGAAGAGTTTGCTGGATTTTGTTTGATAATCTGAAGATTGTGTTGAGGGATTTCTGTGGGTAGTTATAATGAAAAAATACAGAAATAAGCCTTTATATGTCCGTGTCACCAGGATGCTACATTTATAAAAAAAAAAAAAAACCTTTTTACAGTTTACATACTGTATACTAAATTAATCAGCATTTTACCCAAGTAGGTCATACAGCCATTTAATCCACTGAAGTCTTAATGATCCCTGTTCCTGCAAAACAACTCAGTGCTATGAGATTATGGCACTTAATAATATTTGTCATCTGCCTTATGCTACTTTCAAGTTATTGGCTTCAAACATCGCCGCCTGTATGTGACATTTTCAAAAGCGATAAAAAGTGTGAGACCTGACAAGCAGCCTATAATCACAGGCAACAAGTGAACAATTCAGGAAGCATGAGGACTTGTGGGATCACGTGTACATAGTGATATGTTTGTGTTTCCATCTGCTCAGCTCGATCATATTCTTCTGTTTGTGTCACGTTAACCTCTTACAGTCGTCCTCACATTCATTCATCCCCTTTCAACAAAGAAAAGGCAAAACTCACAATCGTCACTCAAATAAATAGAAACTGAAAAAGTAATCATAAATAAAAATGTGCTAAATTATAATTAAGTGAAATAAGACGTTGCTTTTGAATTGTGGTTGAAAACAATCATGAAAAAAAACAAAAAACAAAACTGTCCCAGACCAATGAGAGGCCTTTGCTGATGAGCAGTGGACCAGAACACCTGTCAACAGGTGCACAAGTCTGACTGAGAGTTACAGGAAACACCTGATGGCAGTGATTGGCTCAGAGGGTTGTTCAGGTAGATGGTAGTTCAGGGTCCCATCAGGCTGGTTTGCTTTTATATATATATATAGAGAGAGAGAGAGATATTTCTGTTGAACCACAATCCAAAAGCAACGTCATGATTTTCATTAAATTTTATTTTTTATTACTTTTGTCAGTTTCAACTTATTCCAGTGACTGCTGTTTGTTTCCTTCTTTAATGGGAGGCTATGAATACATCTGAGGACGACTGTATGTGAACATACTGAAGAACAAAATGTCCGTCCTCCTGGACTACAGTACAGTACAGGACAGACCCAACAAACAACATAGCTGAGCTCCCCTTTAATGTAAGCTTGAGGTACTTAGTCACCCACATCTGTGTAATATCCTGTAATTCCTTTATTTCATTCAATTAAGCATAAATCTCCCCGTCAGTGCTCAAACATTTTGTCTTTCACAATATTCTGTTGTCAAAATGCTCAACGTGACACAACCGTCTGTCTTTCATCTGACAAGTGTGTGTTGCCATCTACATGGCAAGTTGTTGATTGTTATCGTTGCCCATCAATGGGCAGCTATAGAGTCATCTTGTGTGTGTTGTTTGTTATCAGTCTAGATCAGGTTCGGCAACCTTAAACTCTCAAAGATCCATTTGGACCCGTTTCCCACAGAAAAGAAAACACCGGGAGCCACAAAACCCTTCTGACATCTAAAACACTGCATGTGTGGTTTTTACCTTCATGCTGTGTATAAAAACTGTAGTGTTGCATTTATGAAATCAATGAACTGCTGCAGAGGAAACGACATTTTATTTCTGCAACAAAAACATTTTGACCACCGAAAAAAAAGACGCTGGTTGAAAGTTATTTTGAAATAAAATACTCAGTGTCTATTTGAATCCTCCTCATTTATATGCAACAAAAAGCCAAACTTAAATGATCCACCTGCAGCAAAGTAAACCAGCATGTGGTTGGTCTGCTGCCTGCAGCTGGACTGCTGACCAGACCAGTGACGTGCGGTGAGGTTCATGGCTGGTGAGGCCCTGACTTCATCACAATCTGATCTACAAATATCTGCACTCTACACAGCAGCATATCTGCCATTTGATTGGCAGCAGTTCACAGGTTATGTTTCATATCTGCATTCTTCACACATACAAGCTGTAGCCCACAAAAGGCATGTTTCTTCTTTTTTTAAGTTATTGCGGTCTGACCTTTACCTTTAAATGAAGTCCATGCTCCGCTCCTTCTGGACAAAATATACGTTACTTTTTTGTAGAAGTCTCTTCCTTCGCTGCACTTGACCTGCTAACTATATATCATACCTTGTCTAGCTTGGTGTCACTTACTCTGCAGCCACGGAGTCACAAGAAGCATGTCTGGGATCAGAGCGCCCCCTGCCATGAGGCCAGAGAACTGCCTGCCTCACCTGGAACTGCTTCTCAGCCGTTTACGATCACTCAGCACACGGAACACGTTACACACATACAGCTGGTAACAAAAACACTGAACATTATTATATACATCAGCTGAACTATGGAACATCAGTTCATATATTAAATGTGTTTGAACCACGTTATTGGCAACATCCGGACGGCAGCACGCCGTCTGTTGGAGCCGTTTTCAGCCCTTTATGATTTGATCTGATGGAGGGATAGAATGTTACCAGGTGCTTGGTGTTGGGACTGAATGGGTGTTCGCCAGCTCCACCTTTTTTGTGAGCCTGATTTACTCATGGGAGACAGGTGATGGGAATGAGCTGGCAGGAGTGGTAGGACGCCAGTTTTTGACCGTAGTCTGATACGAATATTATGTAATCTTTCTTTTGAATATAATAAACAGGACGAAGAATAACTGCCTACGCGTCAGAACTTCAATTGCTCCTGTCACATGTGGATCCGAGCAAAACTGCGTCGGATACCACAACACTGTCACTGCATCCAGACAGCAGCACCCTGTCACTGGACAATGGAATAGCTCCAAGATAGAGAGCAGTCTGCGTCAGTGGGGAGTCCAGTGGCTCTTTAACCCCCCGACCGGTTCTCACCATGAAGGGGTCTGGGAGCGGATGATACGGTCGGTCAGGAATATCCTTAGCACCACGTTAAAACTCCAGTCCCTGGATGAAGAAGGCCTGCACACCCTCTTGTGTGAGGCAGAAGCCATCATAGACAGTCGACCTATAACCAGAGCTTCTAACGACCCTTCAGACCTAGAAGCGCTTACCCCCAACCATCTCTTGCTCCTCAAGTCAAAGCCTCCCCTACCTCCAGGTCTCTTTGTGAAGGAAGAGCTTTACTCTCGCAGAAGGTGGAAACAGATCCAGCATATGGTGGACATATTCTGGAAATGATGGACAAAAGAATATCTACCTCAGCTACAAGAGCGACAGAAGTGGACTCGTGTGTCTCGCAACTTCGCTGAGGGGGATGTGGTCCTGATCGTCGATGACTCTGCGCCTCGAAACTCCTGGATCCTGGGCAAAGTCATCGAGGTGGTTCCTAACAGCGCTTGGGCTTGTGCGTTGGGTTTGCGTCAGGACAAAGACATCCACGCTAGATAGGCCCATCACTAATGTTTGTCTTCTCTGTGAAGCTCCATGAGTGGGTGGTAAAGACTGTCCTCCTACGGTGCACCATGTGCTGGTAACCTCTGGCGCCGGGACCGGTTACACATCATAAGAGACATTTATCAAATAAGTTAGTGTTTTGGGTTTGTTGGCTCCTTGTGTGTTAGTTTTTGTAATAGTCTCTTTTTAGAAGAGAAATTAGGGGCCGGTATATAGGAGCCAAAACACACTAGGTAGCATTTTGAACTATAATTTTACATTTATGATCTTATGAAGATCCCAGAGTATTTCAGATTGTTCGTACAGATTGAGTCAGGAAAATGTGTGTTTACTCAGATGTAGTTTGCTTATTTGGTTTTGCTGTTTCTTTAAGACACTGACAGATTTCTTTACATGCTTACATCAGCGTTTGTTTTTTTCGTTGGAGTGCGCCGGAAGGAAAAGGCAGAGACAGAGGCGATACAGTTTCGTACCGTAGCTGTAAGCGTATGTTTGGCAGTGTCAGCCAACCTTGGTAGTTGTTCAGCTGTTTGCTTGGATCACTCCTGTAAAAGATCGCCCTGTGGAATCCAAATAAATGTTCATTTGACGTCTTTTTACATCGGAGTACTGTGGAGTTCTTCACGGCTAACAACTTCAGCACAGCTTCAGCACGAGTGACGCAACAACGTCTCGCCAGCCATCGGCCCTCATACACGCCGTCACTGCATCCAGACAGCAGCACCCTGTCACTGCAGGCAGCCAGCACAGTGAGGGATTGCGCAATCCAAAGTGAGGCTCAGTTCGCCGCTGCCTTACCGGCTTCTCTTTCGTGGTTTTGAATTTAAAAATCATCAAGACTGACGAGGCTAAATGAAAAAAGAAATGCTTTATAATACAAGTCACTGGATAAATATAACCATTTAAATTATTTTATCATCATATATTTTTTCTTTCCGTGATGTCAGGTGCCTCCCCTGCCCGCACGTCACTGGACCAGACTCCTGACCGCCAGTGAGTGCTCTGGGACGGGAGGAGCCCACGGCAGCTTGCTGAGGACAGGAACTGTAGACCGACACGTGTTTTCACGTCACAGCCCAAAACACCAGAAAGAGTCGTTAGATTTGTCGCTAGTTGCTTTTCACAAAAAAAAAGTCGCCAGGAGAACTTGGAAAGTCGCCATATTTAGAGAGAAAGCCACCAAGTTTGCAACACTGTGCGTCCGGCAGGTGTCGCACATCGGTGAGTGTGACGCAAAAAAAAAATACACAAAAAAATTAAACACGTTTTATTTCAATGTTACAAGTTCACAAAAATCTTCAAATGTAGAATTACATTTTTTAAACTAACGAACTAAAAAAAAAACTGTTAAATGAAAACACTCATTATTTATTTTCCAAAGCAGGAGGAGGGTTAGAGTGTTGCCGGGCAACCAAGCACACAGCTGCAAGGGATACTTGGTTTAACTGTCAAATCAGTGCAAGTCCGCAGAAGGAGAAGACCTCAAACAACCGCCATTGTTTTCATAACCGTGTGTTGGAGAGAAAAGCCGAGCACATTTTCAGAAAGCCAAGACCTTGGGCATTACAGAGATGTATTTTTTGTTTTCCTAGAGTAAAAAAATGAGCGCACAATCATTTGAGAAGAAATGTGTACATTTGTGGTCCTTGAGAAAATCAGGAGCCATCTTTGAATGGATGCGGATGGGGAGGAAGAGAGACTTGTGGAGGAACAAGGCTCCCAAACTCCCCCAAACTTAATTCTGTCCGCTGCCAAAATGACATTGTGAGCTGCAGGACAAATTTTCCTACGTTTTGATGTAAAAATGATGTCTGTGGCATAAAAATTGTGGCCAGGGCGACAAGTTAAAAAAAGATTTACTGTGTGATTTTTCTCTGAGCTCCCACTCTAGTGATGTCATCACTCACTCTAAAGGACCACATACACACCCATTGTAAAGGCTGAAAAGGGGTGAAAAAGTTTCAAAACTTGAGAGGTTGTCACGATGAATATGAATATGATATGAAAAAAGTAGAAACGCTTTGAAATAGGGGAAGGCCGCGTGAACATTTTAAAGTTGAAATGGAGTCTGTAGGTGAAAGTAAGCCTGAGCAGTGGAGGTTTGAAAAGTAGTGTAATTTTGTGTGATTTTTTCGTCCGTCCCATTCATTTTCAATGGGAGGTTTGTGCGACGTTTTGGCGAATTGCGTGGCGAAAAATGCGACTTTCGTAAATCTGTATGTAAGCACACGATTCCCGATCGAGCCGCACGTTTTGATGTATAATTTGTGTGGGTGCTCCCAAATCTGTGGGAGGAGTAGCCGACTTGTACTACTTGATTTTTGTTGTTAGGTAGGTGATGGTATCAACGGTTTGACAAAAAGAACAGATGATGGATCACTTCCAGTCACCATCTTCCCATGTGAAAGCTTTCCAGTTTGAGATCTAAAGCCTCTTCAGTGGGAAACAGCTGCCCAATAAAAAGGTACTCAGGAACAAAGTCTAGCTCCTGACATCGATGTGTCCTCCTGTTACTACTTATAGGTGCTAGTTGGACATACGGACCCTCAGATGTGTGCTGAGGAGCTGACAGTTAGGTCTGACCTGCTGATCACACACATACAGAAAGCTAAAACTCCAGTCAGCTAAACATCGATGAGTTTATTTCACATTGTGTGTTTTTGTTTTTTCTGTTTGATGATCACGACTAATGAAGCTCAAGTTTAGGAAACAACAGCACGCCTCCTCTCCCTGTCCAAGCCCAGATGCAGAACGTCTGTTAAGCTCTGTCTCTGCTCCTTACGTTTCCCTTACGTTTCTTGCTCTCTCGCAGCATCCAGTGGTGTTGATCAATGCAGGTATACTTCTATTGACAGCTGTCAGTCTTCTTCTGTCCGATCTGAAAGTCAAACATTATGTTAGTCTTACATTCATTAAGATTACATCAGCCCTGAACTACTATGGGAAACGCTTGTTTGAGGGGACGTCATCCATCAGAAAGTCCTGTATTACTGTTTAGATGTCCCTCAGTCACTCGTACTGAGTCTGGCCGCCCCTGACATGGATCAGTGTGTTCGGACATGGTGGCGTTCTGTCCACCAGCTGGTTGATGGAGTCAGTGGGCAGGACGTCCCACTCTTCAGTCACATCCTCAAGTCAGAACTGGTTCCACCTGCTAGCTGGGACTCAGTGTGTCATCATTACACCTGGTCAGAAGTGACTACTGATGTGTGGAAACAGAAATAAAAGTAGTGTGTCTGATAACAACAATTATCCCAACTTTATGGGCGACGGTGTGTATAGGTTTGTCATCAGATCAAGCATGTTAATAGGCTCACTGACTGAAAAATCATACAAGACCATTTAAAGAGTGAACATACATGGAGTATTCATGATGTGATGCTGCAGAACCACTATGGATAATAAACAGAATGAATATTGCATAAATACAGCATCTACAGGCTATAAATACCTGGACAACAAATGCTGTCATGACTTTTGGAGTAAAAAGAAGTAAATACAATGCATGTGGCATAAATACTTTATTGGTTTTATTTCATAAACACCGAAAAAAATAAACACCAACTGTGGCTTGTGAAGATGTTTAGGCATCCGACTTAGTGCATCTTGAAGCTTCTGTCTTTTTGTCAAAATGAATGTGTCAGTAACAGAAATACGCTCGTCCTGCAGATCACGTTGAGGGCTGAGGGATTTCTAGGCTCACTCAACAGATGTTCAAGGGATCAGAATCTTTTCAGCGTCAGCTTCTTGACTGGCTTGATGTTATTGTGATTCAAAAACTGGATATTTAGTGGAGTCTATTTGTCACTTTGTCTGCGCTGTGGTCCTGCTCTATGCTAATGGAAGCTTCACAACCCCACAACCACATATGTTAGGCTTAGAATGCTTCTCAGTTGGTAAGGTACTCTTTTGTCAAAGTCTGCTTCTTTTTTCACCAAGCTTAACTTTAAACACAGCGTCACATTATATTTATTTATCTCATTTTAAAGTTTTGTCTGTGTAATCCTTTTTTTTTTTTTAAATCATGTTTTATTTCACTCTCGACTTGTTCTGTCGTATCAGTCATCTGTGAGGAGTTTGAACTGCAATAAACTGAATGAAAGGTGCAATAAAAATCCAGTTTGACTGACCGATGCACTTTGTTTTAGTTGGCAAAATACCAAAGTGAATGTTAAACACTAAAAATGACACACATAGAAAACACAGGGACAGAGGGATCAGCTGTTATACTGCCAATGAAAACAATATTAATGTTTGTCATGAAAAGAAAAGGGTTAAAAAAAAAAAGCAAACAAACAAAAAATTGGGATTTTGGGGGGGATATTTGGCTGAATGTGGCTCAAGTGGAGCAGATGAATGTAATTTAGTGGAATTTAACAATGTACGTGTCTGAATAATATGTTTCAGATGTGTTTGAATGTTGTCTTTAAAAAAATCTCCCAAATATCATCATACCGTTCAATTGGCTTTGTTTCTAGTGATCAGTATGTCACAAAACCTGCCTGTTCATCAATACAGCGGGTCTTTAACTCTGCCTTTGTGATAGCGCTGAGATCTGGATGGCAACTTCAAATCGAGACTCTTTCAACGGTTGGAAAAAACCTTTGAGATTGCATTGAGAATCCAGTTTCAACAAGTCCCAAGTTCCTCTTGGTCCCAGTGGTCACATGTGTGTGCTTGATGTTATCACTCACCTTAATACAGACAAACACAGCCAGAGGAGGCAGGGCTCAGGCAGAGGTGTCCTTTAAAAGCAGGGTAATCTCTGACTCTCTTCAGTTCAGTCCAGTCCATGCCACCATGTTTCTTTCAGTTGTCCTGCTGGGGCTATGCATTTGCTTCATGATCCTTCAGCTGAGGCCCAAGAAGCCCAAGAACTTTCCACCAGGACCCCCTGTCCTGCCCATACTGGGGAACATTTTGCATTTGAACCTACAGAACCCCTTGGAGGACTTTGAAAAGGTAAGAAGAATGCTGCAATGAATGACATTGTTCTTTAAATGCCTTAAACTGTTATAATTATGACAGAGTCTTAGTTATTCAGCAAGAGCACCGCTGCTGGTCTCTTCATGTGACTGCATTATGTTGTTGGTGTCAGGTCGACTGCTTGCACACCTGGCTGGTATCCAAGCAGTACGGCAGATCAGGACTAGTGAACTTTTTAACTTTGATGATTCAGATCAGTCAAATTTCATCAACTTTCTTCATGCAGCATGTTTCATTTTAATGTTTAATGATTGTGTCACAGACTTGGCACAGCGACACTGGCACAGAGGCATCAAGGCAGGCCGAGCAAACTGGCACCAGACAGGAGGTTGTGAGCAGCCAGTAAAATAACTGATCAGACAATGTTTGATGAGAAAAATTCGGTCAGCATATGCGAGGACATTTTTTGCAAAAGCTCAACACCAGGGGTGCCCAATCCTGGTCCTCGAGAGCCCCTATCCAGAATTTTTTAGATGTTTCCCTCTTCCAGCACACCTGATTCAAATGATCAGCTCATCATCAAGCTCTGCAGAAGCCTGATAACGATCCTGATCATGTGAATCAGGTGTGTTGAAAGAGGAAAACATCTAAAACATGCTGGATTGGGGCTCTCGAGGACCAGGATTGGGCACCCCTGCTCAACACTATTCGGGAAAAGGGGCGGAGCTTTGTGGTGCTCAATGCATTTTAAAAAATGCTTTTGAAAAAAAACAGTGTCACTTTACACAAACAAAGGAGGATTCTGAAGAATGATTTACAAATGTCACTTATCCTAAAAGAGATATTGCATCTCACTGTACTTCAGACATCCAACTAAAACGCAAAATTTACTTTGATCTGTTTAAAATCTAAAATGTTATTAAAGAGTGATATCTTAACACTCTCCAACCAGTAGGCATGTTTAAGGCATGTACAGGTGCAGCTCAAAATAATTGAAATATTGAGGAAACATCTTTGTTTTTGCAATTTAATTCAAAAACATACACGTTTGTATTTGGTAATTATTACTGATGAAGTGAAACTTTTCAGCCTTCTATTCGTTTTATTGTTATTAGATTATTGTCATATAAACTTTGTCCACAACTGATAAATAGGTAAAGTAATATATATGAAGCCTTCCTGTGTTTTAAAACTGTCTATGAAAGAACCAAAATGCAAAATAGTTTTTGTGACAAAGCTGAATGTGCTTCAATCATTCCATCAAAGATAATTAAGAGTTGTAGGAGTCATTAGAAACTCCAGACTGCCATGACATACGTGGTCTTTACAAGTGTATGTACACTTTTGTTCACGACTGTATGCCATTGATTCTATTCAATTTCAGTGCAGTTTTATTTGAGTGGTGCAGTTTACAACATATGTCATCTCACAGTGCTTAACATGGTAAGACAAGACCTTACAAATTCTGACTTATATTTTTTATCAGCGATCTCCTAATGAATACATTTCCACTGCTGTGTCTATTTTTGTCTTATTCCCCTACAGGTCAATAAATACTAATGAACCCCTTTAAAACATCTGATAGTGTTAAACGTGTTTTAAACACTGTTCTGTTATTTTGTTCCGTCACAGCTGAGAAAGTCGTATGGAAATGTCTACAGTCTGTTCCTTGGTCCTGAACCGACTGTGGTCATCAACGGGCTGAAGGCCATGAAGGAGGCGATGGTGATCAAGGCTGCTGAATTTGCTGGACGACCTCAAGACATGTTTATTAATGAGGTCACCCAGAGGAAAGGTAGAGGACATTGTTTGTCATTGGACAGATGAAAAATGCAAAATTGCAATAAACAGGAAATAGCCAGAGGGCCCACCACCCACAGGGCAGAAGGTCGGGGTCGGGTGCTATGCCCACCAGGTGGTAGGCAGGAGCGGGCATCCCGGCGTACTGCCCCTTGGTGCTGTAGACAAGCTCTAGGGACATGGAACTTCACCTCACTGGTGGGGAAGGAGCCTGAGCTGGTGCAGGAGGTGGGGCGCTACCAGCTAGATATAGTCGGGCTCAACTCCACACACAGCAAGGGCTCCAGAACCAAACTCCTGGAGAGGGGTTGGGCGCTCTCCTTTTTCTTGGAGTCTCTGGGTGGTGTCCTGGAAGGGGTGCCGTCTGGGGACTCCATAGTTCTCCTGGAGGACTTCAAAGCTCATGTGGACAATGATGATGAAACCTGGAGGGGCGTGATTGCGAGGAACGGCCTGCCTGATCTGAACCCAAGTGGTGTTCTGTTTTTGAACTTTTGTGCTAGCCACAGATTGGCCAAAACAAATACCATGTTTGAACATAAGGTTGCTCATAAGTCTACCTGGTACCAGAGCACCTTAGGCCAAAGGTCAGTGATCGACTTCGTAGTCATATCATCAGACCTGCGGCTGTATGTTTTGGACACTCAGGTGAAGAGAGGAGCAGAGCTGTCAACTGATCACCACCTGGTGGTGAGTTGGACTGATGGTGGGGAAGACTGCCAGACAGACCTGGTAAACCCAAACCCAAAGTGCGGGCAAACTGGGAACATCTGGCGGAGGCCCCTGCCCATAGGGTTTTCAATTCCCACCTCCAGAAGAGTTTTCCTGCATCCCGGCGGAGATTGGGGACATGGAGTCAGAGTGGTCCATGTTCAAAGCCTCCATTGCAGAAGCAGCCGTTAGGAGCTGTGGCCAGAAGGTCACTGGTGCCTGTTGCAGCGGCAACTCCAAAACTCGCTGGTGAACACTGGCAGTGAGGGAAGCCATCAGGCTGAAGGAGACCTTTCGGGCCTGACTGGCTCAGGGGTCTCCTGAAGGAGCAGGCAGATACAAGCTGGGTAAAAGGGCTGCAGCTGCGGTGGTTGTGGTAGCTAAAACTCAGGTGTGGGAGGAGTTCAGGGAGGCTATGGAGAAGGACTTTCGGTCGGCCTCGAAGAAGTTCTGGCAGACTGTCCGACGCCTCAGAAAGGGGAGGCAGGGATTTGCCCAGGCTGTGTACAGTTGGGGAGGAGAACTGCTGACCCAGACTGAGGATCTTGTCAAGCAGTAGAAGGAGCACTTTGAGGAACTCCTGAACCTGGTAAACACGTCCTCTGCAGAGGGGGCAGAGCCTGAAGACTTGGGGGTTTCTGCATCCATATCTGTGGCAAAGGTTGCTGAGGTAGTTAAGAAGCTCCTCGGTGGCAAAGCGCCAGGTGTGGAAGAGAGTCGCCTCGAGATGCTGAAGGCTCTGGACATTGTCGGACTGTCATCTCTTCAATGTTGCGTGCGCATCGGGTACGGTGCCTGTGAAGTAGCAGACCGGGGTGGTGGTTCCCATTTCATTCCATTCCCATCGGATTCAGGAGGAGCAATGCGGATTCCATCCTGGCCAGCTCTTTACCCTTGCGGAGCTGCTGAGGGGGGCATGGGAATACGACCTGCCAGTCCACATGTGCGTTGTGGATCTGGAGAAGGCCTATGACCATGTTCCCCAAGGGGCTCTGTGGGGGGTACTGAGGGAGTGTAGGGTACCAGGCTCGCTGCTACAAGACATTCGGTCTATGTACAACAAAAGTGCGAGCTGTGTCCGCATTCTTGGCAATAAGTCGGACACGTTCCCAGTGGGTGTTGGACTCTGCCAGGGCTGCCCCTTGTCCCCGATCCTGTTCGTGGTCTTCAGTTGCTTCCCCAAGCAGGGGAGTTTAAGTATCTCAGGATCTTGTTCACGAGTGATGGGAAAATGGAGTGCGAGGTGCACAGGCGGCTTCAGCGTCTGCAGTAATGCGGGCGCTGTATCAGACTGTCATGGTGAAAAGAGAGCTGAGCCGCAAGGCTACGCTCTCGATTTACCTGTCCATCTACGTCCCAACCCTCACCTATGGTCACGACCCACGTGACCAAAAGAACGAGATCGCGGATACAAGCGGCCGAAATGAGCTTCCTCCACAGGGTGGCTGGGCTCAGCCGTAGAGATAGGGTGAGGAGCTCGGACATCCGGAGGGAGCTCGGAGTAGAGCTGCTGCTCCTTTGCGTCGAAAGGAGCCAGTTGAGGTGGTATGGACATCTGTTTCAGATGCCTCCAGAGAGGCTTCCTCTGGAGGTCTTCTGAACACATCCACCTGGGAGGAGATCCCGGGGAAGACCCAGAACCTGCTGGAGGGATTATATCTCTCATCTGGCCTTGGAACGCCTCGGGATTCCCCTGAAAGAGCTAGAAAGTGTTGCTGGGGGGAGGGAAGTCTGGAATGACCTGCTCCGCCTACTGCCCCTGCTACCCAACCCCAGATAAGCGGAAGGAAATGGATGGATGGATGGATGGATGGATGGAGAAGAAAATAAACAAACCAAAGACCATGAGAGAGGAAAAACCTGAGGGAACCTCTAGGCCCATTAAAACCATACATTTTGTGATACTGGACAAGAATAGAAATGTTCACATTGACAGTGGTGTTTCCAGAAAATGTTCCATTGCATGACTTCTCCGCTCTCTGTTTTGCTTCACTTGTAGGAATGGCTTTTGCAGATTATGGCTCTAGTTGGAGGGAGCATCGTCGCTTTTCTCTGATGACCATGAGGAACTTTGGTTTGGGGAAGAAATCAATGGAGGAGAGAATTCATGACGAGACTCAGTACATCATTAAAACACTAGATAAAAACATTGGTACGATATCTGTGGGTCCACACAACTCAGTTTTATTGCAACAGGAAAGTTTCCCCTGCAGGAACTCAGGGCAGGTGTGAGGTGGCAGGACTGTTGACAGGAACGGTCCCATGATCAGTCCTTTTACTCTGTTTACATGGTGGTGTAGAATCTGACAGGTTCACCTGCAACAAAACAACGACAGACAGCAGTTTCTTGGTGCAACTCAACTTCTATTAGCAGAGACGACATTGAAGATTAACATCGACAACTATTTTTGCCTATATGGCATTTGTACAGTCTAAGATTTAAGTGGAGAATGCTGATGCCCAACAAGGACATTGAGAGGGCTGAAAAAAACAACATGGCACTAGTTCCCCCATCAGCACAGTCTTCTACAAGTGTGGCCAGTTAGTTTCAAGCCCCACAAAGCAGTTTTTCCAGTTGCTCAAAGGTACCTATGTTGAAGAAGGAATTTCCCTGTCCCCTGAATACACCCACAGGTTCCTGCATTGGGAAACAACTGTTCTGTGTTCCTGTATAATGCTGTTTCCTGCATTAGTTTGTATGATATCTTTTACAGGCAAAACCATGAGTCCTCAAGTTATGTTTCACAACGCGGCCTCCAACATCATGTGCCAGGTTCTGTTTGGTACACGCTACGAGTATGACGATACAATCATCAGAACATTTATTCAGAGCGTCACGGAGATTACCAAGATCACCAACGGACCTTGGGCAGTGGTGAGTCAGAGCATGTGGGTCGGTCACATCTCCCACGTGCAGTGTTCTTGGTCTTTAAAGGCATCAGGCTCTGAGTCAGCTGACCACTTTGTACTATCGCAAACTACAAACAGGTATGGACCTAAAATGCACAACTGTGGAGACTCATGAAAAGTCCAACAGGTTTATTGTACAAAAGCACAATAATCAGGCAGAGGTTTCCAAATCACAAAAGCGAGCTCGGTAGTCAGAGCAGACTGGGTCACAAAACACACAGGCAACACTGGGAAAAGGACGAGAAGAAATGACTGGGGCGCTGCATGAGGGCAGAAGAAGCACTGGTGAGGAACATGAGGGGAAAAATGAGGTTATATACACTGAGGCAGGAGAGACAGTGACCCAGTGCTGGGGCACATCGGGCCGGGGCATGACATCACACAGGAAGAAAGCAGATGGAGACCAGGGGGTGTGAAGACACCTGCACCTAGACAAGAGTGAGTGCAAGCTCACAACAGGAAATAGCAAAATAAAACAGGAAGTAGAGAAACATGACCTATGAACAGCTGGAATTATCTCCAGCAGGACTTTTTCTGATTTGACTCTTCTCATTTAAACAAAATAACTGACAATAAAAGCATCTGCTCCAAACAGTTCATGCCAGTAATCTGAATCTGCATGGCTGGATTCAAAATAAGTTATGATTTATCTGTTCTTTTCATTACTTTCTGGTTGTTGTTTTTTTGTTGTTGTTTTGTTTTTTACAGCTGTACAGCTCTTTTCCCTCCATCCGTAAGCTGCCACTGCCCTTCAGCAAGGCCTTTAAGCAAATGAAGGTAACTTTAAAAATAACCCACGTGCACATATCCTACATACTGTACGTCTGTTAAAAACACTGAGTTAAAATCCACACTAACCATTCATGCAATGACAGATAAATCCTCCATTTACATTGTCAGTGAAAACAAAACGTAAATTTATGCAAATTATTCTGTCTTTTAGCATTGTTCTGACCTTGTACTTCGTCTGTTGAACGAGCACAAGAAGACCAGAGTCCCTGGAGAGCCTCGAGACTTTATTGACTGCTACCTGGATGAACTGGGAAAGGTGTGTGAAACCAGTCAGCTCACTGTCTCAGATGATACGTTGTGCATGGACAATGGTTACGCACCTCCCGTAGTGTGCATCAGTATGGCTTATTACCAGATTTACCTTACTTAAATTTGTCTTACAAAGATCACTCTCCTGTTTGCAGAGACCCGATGATTCTACATTTTCCGAAGACAAACTCATATTTACTGCTATAGACCTTCAGTTTGCTGGGACTGACACAACCTCCAACACCCTGCTCACTGCTTTTCTTTACCTCATGAACTACCCACACATCCAAGGTATACCTGCACATGTAAATATCAGGTGGTACTTTTCTGTTTCTGACTCTGTAGTTCCACAACTGTCTTCTGATATGAAACCAATAAAAGCCAAGCCCCTATGTTAGCATGCACAGTACTAGGACCTTAAATGGAGAGCAGACCTGTTTGGAACCATTTATATATATATATATATATATATATATATATATATATATATGTATTCTCCACTTTTAGTTCATGACATAGTTTGTTGTCATGACCGATATCTGCCACCTATTGATTGGCCTCTCTATGCCTAAAGGTTCCCTTTCTCCCTGATCTCATTGTTTCAGTTGAACAGCTGAGTCTGCAATGCAGCGTCTGATGTTGTCTTGCCTTCTCAGAACGATGCCAGCAGGAGATAGACCGGGTCTTGGAAGGGAAGGATCGGGCCAGCTTTGACGACAGACACCAGATGCCCTACGTGCAGGTACTGTGCTGTTTATCATAAGACAGATTTCTCCTCATCATTATTCTTCTGATCAGCATGTGAAAGAATGACACAAGGTCAGAGATTCTAACATCTTTTGGGTAATCTGTGGACTTGGAGATCCATTCTAATGTTTACATGTCATTTATGATGAACTTTGTCGTGGTGGTAAACATCCTGCTGCCTGCTGCAGCTCGATTCTGAGAGCCTGCTTGTTCTCCTTCTGCTGCAAGTCACATAAAGCATTTGAAAATGTTCTTTGAAACTTGTTTCATCCAGGCTGTGACCCATGAGGTTCAGAGGATCGCCAACACTGTTCCACTCAGCGTTTTCCACAGCACGACCAAAGACACAGAGCTCATGGGATATTCCATTCCCAAGGTATAGAGGGTTAGTCAAAGTGGGTAAATAGGTTCTGACAACAGAAACAACAAAGTGAAGTGTGTCCCTAAGTTATTTTTGGTCAATATCCTCCTCAGGGTACGATGATCATCCAGAACCTGAGGTCAGTGCTGAATGAGGAGGGACAGTGGAAATACCCTCATGAATTCAACCCTGGAAACTTCCTGAACGACCAGGGAGAGTTTGTCAAACCAGAGGCCTTCATGCCTTTCTCTGCAGGTACAAGAACATCAAGACTGCACCACACTTGGAGTGGCATGCTGAAGCAGATCAAATAGCTGCTGTAGATGACTTTGAGGTGTTTTCTATCCCTCAGGTCCTCGGATGTGTCTCGGAGAGGGTCTGGCCCGTATGGAGCTCTTCCTCATCATGGTGACTCTGCTGAGGAAGTTCAAGTTCATCTGGCCTGAGGATGCAGGAGAACCAGACTTCACTCCGATCTTTGGGATCACTTTGACTCCCAGACCTTATCCCATGAAGGTCCAGCTCAGATCATCCCAGTGAAGTGGTCTCCAGACACACAGCAGAACCAGTGCAGGGCTTTTAGTGTTGTCTGTAACATGATGTACAATATACAGAGAAAAGGGAAATATTAAGGAATTCTTTTTGCCATTAACCTCATTTATCTCATTTTTAAGTCTTGTCTTTCTAATCCATACATTTTTAAAACATCATTTGTTATTTCACTCTCAACTTGTTCTGTCTTATCTGAATTTGGTTTTGGTTCCTTCCCACCGTTGCCGACTTGCTTAGGTGGAGTCCAGCGGCAGCTTTCCGTTGTTGGGTCGTCTGTTCAAGCTTTGAAGCTGTTTCCCTCATACAGGGGAAACTAGAAAATGCCAAAATATTGCATTGGTTTATGTTTTCTATCAGTCACATTTGCACTTCCTGACTTTACCTGTCGGAATCATTTTCTCTGACGTTCAGGTGTTTTCGGACTTTCTTTGATCATATCTGCTGTCATTGCTGGCGTTACTGGTTTTCATCCATCATGGCTTTATTTCAAATTTCATGGCAGGAAAATATTTTATGCTAGGAACTCCTGCTGGTTCAACTGGGCTAACCAAACCCTTTTAGAGCTTATTAATGTCTAAAAAACTGAAG